TTGGTTGCTACGCCGTAGAGCTGCGTACCAGGTCGTTGATTTGCTGTGTATGAAAGAAGAGTAGTGACAAAGTAGTTTGAACAGTAAAAACATATCGTGCTCATGAGAAAAATGTGTCGGAACGAAAAACTCTAGAATTAGCGTGAATGAATTAGGAAAAAAGAAAATAAACATTTTATTTATTAGACTAGGACAATAATACAATTAAAATGTGTTAAAACTATATATGTTATAATAATATAATTAGCTTTTGTTTTTAGATTTATATGTAAGGCAAATATTTTTTTTTTGCGTACACCTAGGAATATTCGCGTTAACTACAGACTATTGAAAACTAAATATTCATAATTCACTAAGTCACATATTTCATTATGTGAGAATGTCGTGTCGTGTGAAAATTCTCTACACATTTGAAATGATCCGCTGCCAATGTGTATTGTGTTGATGGTTCAATAAATTCGCAATCTATCATCAAATATATAAAGTAGTGAAATAAAATAAACAATTCTAAATATATAGCACATATTTTGATGAACAAATAACCAAGTTCTCGTTTCGTTTCTATCCGGTAAACATTAGGCGATTGGTTATGTTGCATAGATTAATTATTATATCCGGATAGATACATATATTTATACGCTTTTGATTCGGAAAGGATTCATATGCAATAACATTTTTTTTTAATGATAGAGGGGGACAGACAAGCTTGAGGTTCCTTGATGGTAGGTGATATATCCCAGCCTATAGAATCTAAACAAGATGCGCTGTCGATCTATATTGGCTTTGGATAATCGGACTGAAGCCGAACCGCGATTAAACTTCACAGTTTTTTTATCTGTGGATGGTGACCTGACCCGGACCGAATTTCTATATTTCTACCACCCATTTGATATCCAGATTTCCAGAAGTCTAACACATTTCAAAAATATAAATAGGAAAATTTGAAACATGTCGGGCCCGGTGATCGAACCCGCGACCCGTTATTAACCATACTTACATACATATTGCTACCGTTACATTATTATTGAGACAATATATTTCTTAAATACTGTCTGTAGTTTACGCGAGTAGTACACACTTAAATATACTACTTTAACGGTTTAAAACGCGAAATATATAAGTAAAACTTATTTGAGCTACGTCCGATGTTCCGGATGCTTCGCAGCAGCCGTGGTCCCAATCGTCGGGATCAGACCAGTTAATTTGTACAGATTTTTTAACCAAATCAGTCAGTCTGCTTTTCCACACACATTTTTGTTGTTATTTGGTACTTATTTCGTTTGACGTGGAACAAGACCTGAAAAACACTATAAATTAAATATGTTTTTAGCTTTTCCTAAAATCTAGACACATCTGCACACAATAATCTACGTCAATACCCATGTGGCCTTCCATATCGTCTAGATATCAACACTTCAGTTCTGACATATCAAAGGAGAGTTAAAAATAACTCGTTCCCACTTCACGTTATATTCGTAACGGATTAAGCGGTAACTGTGCGTATAATCTCAGGATTTGTGTATATATTTGGTATTAAAGTTTTATTTATTGCTTATATTTATCGAAATATTATTTAAAACATATCACATTCAATACACTGTTTTTTTTTTTGTTTTAAATACATAGTTTTCAACATTACTTTATTTGCAACAAATTAAAGCAGATACGAATTCGTTATATTTCAAAAAATATTGTTCACATTTCGCGTATTTAATTATAAGTCTGCACAGTTGTACATTTTATCTAAAATAGCTTTACAATGAACCCTCGATCATAAATAACTTTTAAGATATTAAAATTCAAAATTAAATATTCAAAATTCGAAATTAAATATCTAACTTCTTTAATAAGCAGTTATTAATAATATTACCAGACTTCTTAACTTGTTTAATAAACAGTTACTTTACTTCAATGCAATGAAATCTACAACGTTTCAGCTTCTACTGAACTTTATTGCACGCTAAAATTATTGATTATATACCGTACGTACTAATTCATATTTCAAAGTAAAATTGTGTCACAAAATACTAAATATGCCGGCAAAAACTTTACGGATTTTGTTAACCGCCTATTCTACAGTAAGGTTCTGATAAAAATGCCTTTTCCTTTACAACTATTTCCTTTTATACACGTTTAAGTTTACCGGAGTGGGTAATAGAAACACGGTCCGTCTTATTATTGTGGAAAACACAGAGGAACAGAGGGGATCATGGGGAAAATTGGATATGGAATTGTTTATCATTTTCTTTATTTGTTTCGGAATGTGATGGCTAACTTTTATTTGTTTTGTTGTAAATTAAGATATTTTATACTAATATTACCTTTTTTAGTTTAGCGGGGCTAGGAATATTACTGAAGTTTAAATACATAATTTAATAACTTTGTTTCGTATTTGAATTGCATAGCTATTAGGAGTTAAGGTAAGAAATGAAACGGACAACGTGACAAGACGTATTTAAAAACTTATATCTATCTTATATGGTCGCGGTGTTTTTAACCAAACCTCCCCTTGTGCCCCTTAGATTTAATCAAAGCAACAAACACAGATGTCAAGTAACAACTAACCAGTCCTTAAGACGAATGTGTTTCTAACTTTCTCTTAAACGTATTTAACACGAATCTTAAAGATTTTGGATTTTTTATTTTTATTGTTCTGTTGTAGGAATTAATTCTTAATAGATGAGTGCTATTAAGACTGGATCCCCCACACTGATAAGAAACCCATACTTTTACGGGTGAGTTCTAAATCAGTCCAATTGGGGTAGTTTTTAGTAAATACGATATATTTAAGTAATATATATATTTTTTAATTTAATCGAAATATATTTGAATCATTATATTTCGTATGTTCATTAAATTACATGAGAGTCTAAATTAATTCAAAATAAACCTTTTATTAACGGTACAGTCGTAGTTCCATATATGTCGTAGTATTTTTAAAGAAAACAAATAAAATGTTATTCATTATTATAAAATGAATTCAGTGAATTCGCAAAAAAATATATTCCTTTCCCTCTACTATTTACTTTACGAGTGATATTAGATTATTTATTATTATAGCAACGAACTGCGCCAATATTAAATAAACAAAACAAAATTTTCAATAAACAAAACATCAGAATTGTTCTGATGCATTGCTTTCATTAAAATTTCTAGGAATTTGTTGGGAAACTACAAAATAATGTTTGTGTGCGAATTTATGAGAACTATATTATTCAATAACTGAAGACAATAAAAAAACTCTTCAATATAAACAAGACACTTATGTTAACTTAAATTACCTTACCATACTTATAAAAAAACTAGCTGTGCCAGCGACTTCGTCCGCTCAGAATATTTATTTTGGGCATTCAAATTCGTTTTTCCAAACCCATTATATACTTTATAAACTTAAGCGGTTTAACCCACGATACAGCTGTTAAGGTAGCTAATACATTTCGCACTTAAAGCCGTTAAAACTGTGTTTATATAAAAGGTGTGTGTTGACTACAGACTTCGAAAACTGACAGTACTCTGTTATAATAAAATATATCCTTAGGTTTGTTATTTCTCGGCCAATTCTGGTCAAAAAGAGTTATCTAATAACAATATCATTAGAATATTAACTGAATTTGTGACCATGGGCTGGAATCACATTAGGCCAAATATATTCATGGAATATACAGCAGTCTGATAATTTTAGAGGGTTGTTACAATTCTTCCTCGGTATAAAACTCGCCATTTTGTAATTAAAATTGACGCTCTGGCGATATAATTAAAAAAGTTTGATGAAATCCTAATTAATTTTTATTTCAATTAACTTTCAGTTTTCACTTAACTTTCCTGAATTATGAAGGGATTTTATTTATTTCGAGTTTTATGAACTAAAAGCCTTTTTACCATATTTCATTACTAAGACCAATGTTCAATTTTAATGTTTAGACTATTCTGAATCGGTCGATAATTTTGTTTTGCCATTTTAATACGTACGTAACTCGTATTTTGCTGCAATTGTCAATTTATCAAATAACATTTCCTGCTAATATCAGGTTTTTTGTAAGTATTTATATTTCGTACTAACTTACGCGTAACTAGAGAAGAAAACGTTTGGCTTTTTGACCTTATGGTCAAAAAGCCAAACGTTTTTCACGGGAAACTAAGAGACAAGAGAACGAACGAATGCGATGGACTGAACTTGTCTTACGATTATAATTATATTGCGAGACTACGAAACGAAAATAGCCGTAAAAGTATGATACAGATATTATTTAAATAAAACACTTTAACGGGTTAAAACACGAAATATCTTAGTTAAACTTATTTTCGCATTTAAGTGTTTTATTTAAATGTGTACTACTCGTGTAAACTACAGACAGTGTACAGATATCTTTTATCATTTAGTAACAGACGCTGTTTTTACTTTGAGCTGTTAATTTTGATTGCAATTAAGCTATTGTTCAAATGCCTCTTTTCCTGTTTAGGTTTTGTCTAAAATGGAATAATTTTATACTATTTTGTCACATTATCTTGAAATCGAGAAAAGACCTACCCTTAACCAGTCGTAAATACGAAGCATTGTTTTAATTTAATAACGGTCTCAAAGTCCCAACGCATTACTGGCACAGAGAAAAAAGTACAATTCGCTTGGACAGCCCTGGGAATTACTCTGTACACCCACCACGCTCTTCCTTTATAAAAGCAACGAAGAAATTGGCTGACCTCAAACACATCCCAACTGCTGGCCATTACACAGTGAACATGTATAACAAAATGTGTATTTAAATATATGTAAGTATAGCTCTATATATGTATTAGGAATTTTAACCAGCTTCTCAATTATTTTATTTAACTGTACTAATTTTTTTTTACTTGTTTTAATACGTATAGGGTATTAAATACGTTATATGAAATATTTGTAGACCACAATTATAGGCTTTTATACTTCATTCTATAGTAAATATAAAATATGAATATTATATAAAGTTTAAATATACTTTTTTGTACATTGTATTTCAGATAAGATGCGTAAAAAGTTATTCGTCTTTCTAATACTCCTACTCGCTTCTAATGACATCGCATACGGAAAACATAGCAATAACACTAACATAGATAATAATAAGAAACATAAAAAGTTAAACCATAAAGGCAACGACCGTCCAAAACGGTCTTCAAATATAAAAACTTTTTTCCAACATTTGCCTTCTAGTGATGACATTACGCGTAATAAACTTACTGACAAATTAAAAGCCGAAAGCATTGAAGATGACGCACCGTTTTGGGGGGCAAGGGGGAGACGAGAGAGTGCCTCTTCGGAAAGTTCCCGGGAAACGCAGGCGTCATATGAAAAAGTATGCCCCCCATATAAGAAGTGCTACTTTGTTGATGTAAACAAAAATGACTATCCGTTTTGGGCCAATCGCGGCAGACGCGATGACAGTCAAAGCGAAGAAGCGTATTGGGATGACAGAATCAGACGACAGGACGACGATGACCCATTTTGGGGTAGTAGAGGGAGGAGAAACGAGGATCCTCCTTTTTGGGGTAGCCGTGGACGGCGTTACCAAGGCACAGATTATTCTTCATACGATGACGACGACACACCTTTTTGGGGAAACAGAGGCCGAAGAAAGATGTCTGATAGAAACAGTATAGACGAGCCAGAACCCTTTTGGGGCAACCGGGGTAAGAAAATGAAAAGTAAACCTATGGACGAAGAAGACCCGTTTTGGGCGACTCGAGGGAAGCGCGAAAACGATTACACAAATCCATTTATTTCCGACTATGTTGCATTAGACAATTCCCTTAAAAGCAAAGGGTTAAGAGCGCCCTTTTGGGCAAATAGAGGAAGAGATAGCAAATTGAAATACCTTTTCAATGGTCCCACGAGAAGCAAAAATAAACCTGGCATTAGTAGTAAAGAGGTGAGCGTGGGTTTTCACATCAAACCGTCAGAGCAAAACACAGTTCACGATGATAGAATTTTTGCTGAGGAACCGCACTATATTCTAATCGAACGAACTAGCAGATCTTCTATGGAAGAAGACCCTTATATAATTACAAGAGGTAAGAAATATAGCAACCGCCTCGCTAAAGCTGCACGAGACAGACGTGGTGTCATTGAAGATATAGTAAGATCAGTACAAAAGGATCCGTATTACATAGCAAGGGGAAAAAAGAACTCGTACATTAAAGTCGGTAATACAATTATGCCGGTAGACAGGCCAAATAAAGATAAAATGTTTTGCGAAATGGTAAATTCTCTATGGAAAAACGAAAGCAAAGTTAAAAGAGAGATAAATGATCCAGAAAGAGACAGGCGAACTATTTTAAAGAAATTAGCTGCTCAGCTGCAAGCTGATCCCTATTTTGTAAGCAGAGGCAAGAAAGATGCAACCGATGATAAAGTCCTGGCTTTTGTTAACGAGATATCTGACATGTGTAGTTAAGTTAGCTAATTAGATAAGAAACTGCATACAGAAGATTTTGTAGCGTTCTAAATCGAATAAAGATGTAATTGCTGCAATTAAATTCGTCTTGTCATTGAAACTGGTTCTCTAACGGAGAGCGATACAATGTTATTTAAAAATCTTAATATCTAGAAATAATTTTCAAATTTTATATAATTTAAATATTTTTCATTGTTACACAACTCATTTCACGAATACGTTATCAAATATTAAAGTAAATTAAAGAGAATCGAATATTAAAGTACCATCAAAGCGAGATCGAAAAATCAATGATATCTGCACACTTCATTATAATACTGAGTAAATCAATATATTACAAATATGTATCCGTAAACTAGGGCAATAAATGTGTACCGTCGCTACACTTCTCCATATATATATCGAAATGCGAGGCACCTGCTGATACAAAAAAAGTTGATGATAACAACAAGTTTTGCAAAGGTAAAAATCCAAACAGATATTATAAACTAAAAGTAATAAATTAAATTTGTGCCAATAAAGAGGTGCTACTGTTATCGACCGTCAGTTGGCAATCATGTTGCCTGGGCACTAGAGTCCACAGTTTGAAACCCAAAGAAATATGTTTCGCTGACATTAAAACTGATCAGTGACAAAAGTATTTTAATTACTGTCATTGCGATGTCAATATTTTAAGAAATTATAGGATAAACATATAACAAAAAGGTGTTACAATGGCCCTTGTCAAAATTCATTAATAAAAACAATTCGATTTAGTGCAACTTTCTTTATTATCAGCATAAATATACCTACATCAAATCTTCACAATTCCGTTTTCCCTCAAAAAATAATTTCGTGGTAGGTAACATTTGAGTTCAATTTCGTTGAGCAATCAAAACTCATAGATTAATATTAAAATAAGGTACATAGACTTGATTTAGACTATCCAGAGATCTATTGTTACATGTAATACATTGAAACCGCTTAGAACTAACAAACAGACGTCCTTGCACTTTCCGTTTCTACGTTAAATAGCTATATAACCATCCTTAAATTACGTCACACGAATTTCAATAAGCTTAGGCCCCTCCCCGTCCGCCCCCACTCTCTAATCGTGTGTCATAATTTCGGATAGCCCTTATTGAAGCGATATGGGTTGCTTATTCTTACGGGGTGACATCGAATCGTAGGACACTATGCAATAATAGCGAAGACATGTCAATATGGACATCGAAAAGTTCTACAGCAAATTCACGCGGCATCTGCCGGTCTAAGAGTCGTAATACTGCACGTCAAAACATGATATTTAGACACTGATATAACTGACATTTAATGTCTTAACTTACGTTAATAATCTCAATATCTATCACTCTCGCGAGTTAAAAACGAAATATTAAAAGCTGGTACATTCGATTCAACAAAACTTAGGCTCTTGTTGTTTGTAAATCACTCGAAACGCCGGTTCCGGACCGGCGGAAGTTTAGACCCTGTAGTCCGAACGGTTTCTTCAGACTCTCCAAAGAAGTAGGTGGTTGGTGGAATCCTCTCTGCCGGCGTCTTCCGTCATGGTGGAACTCCTGAAGTCTTCGTATCCGTCTCCTCCGGATATTATTAGTGTTTCCATGTTGTTTTTGGTCGTGTCCGTTTGTTTTTGGAGTTTCTCCGCGTTGGTGGAGCGACGGCTGAGGCCTTTTGTTTTCAACGTCTGTGCCGGCTTCGTTGACGGCTTATGCGGCACAGGGTTCTCTACGATTGTCAGGAACCGTACGTGCCCCGTGTGCCCATATGGGATACCTGTCAATAAATTATCTTTATGTAAATTTAATTTAATAAAAGCAACCTTAATTCTTATTTTAATAGGCCAAAAAGTTGTGTAAAAATGTCGTCTAAAATTTAATTAATAATGTAGAACTAAATAATGTATAGTATATTCAAAAAGAACGCAACACATTCGAAAGAAAACGTATGTTAGTTGTTGGTTTTATATTTTAATATTTTAATTACTAGTTCCATTGGGCAGGTATAAACAATACATTGTATAATAATGAAAATGTGATTAATAATAAAGCTCTAACCGAAACTAAATTGATTATAATTAATAACATATAAAATAAACAACTCTTAGGGTGCGCAAGAGTGCGCTTGTCAATTTTACATAATAATAGGTGCCGTATTCTATTGTCCAAAAGATAATTAGTAAGAAGCAATTTTACATAATAATAGGTGCCGTATTCTATTGTCCAAAAGATAATTAGTAAGAAGCAATTAATAGTAAAAATATTATATCATTGAATTGTGTACTAAACTGACCAGTCAGGTGAGGCTGTGAAAGTCCACTCCTGGTGGTAGGAACATTCTGCAAAGGTGCAGTCAGCAGAACTCCTGCGCTGGTGCCAATCCACAGAGTATCTCGGTGCGCTAGCAGTGCTGTTACTCGGAGACACGCGGCTTTGTGCTGCCGGATTATGTCGTCGCAACCTACGAATAGAAAAGATTATCATGACCTTCTTATAACTACTGTAATTAGGGAGAAAAATACATGTTCGAGTACTATATACAGGTAAAGGTCAAAAGCAGTCCCATTCATTCTTACTTGGCTATAAGTTTTGACTAAATTTCAAAGGTAGACAAATAATTATTACCCTTAGTGTTCCTCGGGAAAACTGGTAAATGACGAAATATATATGAATCATGTTAAAAGAAGTAAGCCTTCACGTGTGAAATCTCATATCCCCTTGGCGGAGCATGGGACAAACACCAAGAGTGTTCGCCACAGGCTCAACTTTCACTTTTTGTAATTGGCGAGTCGTTTATCAAACACTCATGTCCTACCCAACGGAAACTGTTTGTGTTTTTGCGCGTTACTAGATTAGAACGCGTTCACTTTGACCAAGTGTCGGAAGTTTCCAATGTCACAGAAAATGGCAATTTCATGAAGGACAATGGCCAAATTGTACCTGACGACGACCACATAATCGAAAATCCGCTATTTTTTGTTCTAGAAAATATTAATAACAACTCTTCAAAAATCCAGGAAAAAAAAATATAATTTTTTCTCCATCTGTTTTTTTCAGAAAGTTCACATGTCGAATTTCGTTACATATCGTTAATAACGTCCAATAAAAATCCATGATTTATACTTATTTATTGCTTTTTAAATATAAAAAACCAATATAACAATTTTTTGATCACTCACGTCAAAAAAATTATATAACGTTACGATTTGTCATAGACGCGCTAGCGGATTGACACTAAAGATCATTGACACCTGACTGACAGTTGACAAAGTCTTTGTTTTAATACGGACGTGTTTCCAATCCCAAAATAATTTTTACGATATTATTTTGTGTTTTTAAATAATGTTTTCATACAGGGTCGTATTCAATACATTAAAATAAATCAAACCCTTTATGATTTGTTACTGGTCGCGCAAATCTACTACTGTTTAGTCAGATCTAGTACCTATACAAATTCGGCCATTGTTCTTTAGAAGCATATTATATTAAGTTTACCGTGCAGCATTTTAGTAACATGCGGCGTTATATTGATCTCGCAAAGTTGTTCGCGCGTGCTCGCGTTGTAGCAACGCAGTTGGGCTGCGTTGTGCAGAGAAAGCCAGATGGCGCCATTCGCCACCGCCATGTGGCTGATTGGCTTCGTTTCTGAACTTATTTGGAATGTTTCGTCGATCTGGAAAATAGGATATGCTTTTAATAAATTGTGTAAGGCTTTCACGGCCATCGTTGAGCGAGAAGAGGATCTCTGCCTTTCGCCATCACGAGGACGGCATCATCAGGAGAAGTTAGCTCCTCGATTGCTTGAAGCATTATGAAAGATATGCTTTTGTTTAAAAAACAGAAACCTTTGCAAGTGTTAAGGTTGCAATAACATTGTGTGAGAGGTGCATATATCTCTAACTATCCTTGACAAAAGAACAGTAAAGTGGAAAATCTACGTTTTTACGACAGCGTATCTTGATGTATAGGGCTGAGATATTTCTACTGTCTTCCGTCATAAGAACTGAAGAGGCAACCTACGTTATACATATAGCCTACATTCTGTAGGGTACTAAATAATAATAATCACCTGAAGAGTGTGTGGATTAATGATCCTGATGGAAGAGTGAGTGGCACACCACAGCCGCCCTTCTGATAGGAGCATGGAGCTGACAGGGGTACTGCCTGTACCCACGGATATCGTAGACCGTTCCGCCCATGAGCCTTCTAAAAAATTTTCATGTTGGAACTTAACAATGTTTTGGATACAGAGTTTTTAACAACGTACTATCCTCGAAAAAGTAACTTATAAGTTATCGTTAGATAAATAAATTCAATAGTACGTAATAATAACTTACCAATATCTCTACAATACACTACTAGATCACCGTTGCCGAGTGCTACAAACACTTTGCCCTCCACATATCTGGAAGGAGAAAATTACAATGTAGAGTAATCCTGTGACATTTTTATCACAAAAATATGTTATTTTTATATTTTCACTAAGGCCTTTATAAAGACGTGAAGGAGGTTTGCAAAACATATTCTAATGCCCAAAATAACAATTCTACACGGAAACTAATGACATAGCTAGTTATTTATATTAGTCATGACTTCGCATTCGACGCTCAACTGTAGAACGCGTTGTTAGTTTTCTTCCAATTAGTCTAACGATACAACGATAGGCCATAATGTTTTTTCTTCGGCTATTGAACGAAAGGCTACATGTCGATAAAAGCAAGTAATATTGTTTAAATAAAAAAATTCAAGGGGAAAACGCAAAACAGCACGTTCTGGTGCTTTGTAACAGCTATTATATGTCACGTTAAAACTGTTAAAAGTGTCTTTTTTAAATTTATGTAGTGTAAGTTCCGTAAACTAAAACAGTACTTACACAATGGAATGGATTCCGGAATTATGCTGCATTTTGACTTTGTTCTTCTTAATCCTGATATTGTCTAGGCAGTTATACACGTGTATGCAGCCGTCCTCTGTGCCGAGCCACATGGTCGGTTGGTTCGCAGTTGTGCCGCTGTCCTCTGAGGACTGTCGACTGGCTGGCGATGAAAGGGTACCTGGAAATTCATTTGGTAAGTTAAAGTAATTATAATACGCATACAAAGCGACAAGCTGTCATGTATTGTATAAATTATGTATTTACAGGTATCCGTGAGACAAAAAACATCCAAGTTTCCTTATATTATAGACTACGACATAACAGATGGCGCTAGAGACTCAAAAACCTTTTGTTATGGCAACAGCTGAATAAAATGCAAGCATAACAATATGTATGTAGCATTATCGGTCGTGTTTAAACAATTTTGAATGAAAAATCATTTTCAAATAAGTTTAACTAATATATGGCGGTTTAAACCGTTAAAGTGTTTTATTTAAATGTACTCGCATAAACTATAGACACTATTTAATTTTGAATGCGTTCTTCTATTGTATAATTTATTTTTTTAATAAATTAAGCTTGTATAATATATAATATACTATAATTTTCATATTTTTAAAATAAAATATCTACAAATACTTAAATAAACTTAATACAAATATACACATGCACTAAGCTAAAGTAAAAATAGCAGAGTCATACCAGCTATGATGCGTCCATGTACTGCCATATGGAGAAGGAGTATTGTGTTAATAAAGGGTAAAAAGTGCATTTTACATACTAATAATACAGGATGTTCAATTCTAGCAAAAACATAGGTCATATTCTAGAGGAAGGTATTACAATTAAAATCGAATACAAAATGTAGTAATTTATAACATTTACAAGTTTTTCATAAACACTTAGAAATTTAGTAGTAATTTTTTAGGGACAGGTTTTTTGTATGTTTGCACTTGAGTAAAACCACACAAACTATTGTATTGTGATTCAAGACTTCGTTATCTTTATTTCGGTAACGGTCATGAATACGGACACTAAACGTGCCGGAGGTAGAAATTGTGAACCGGATGAACCTTACAGTGCTGCCATCTATACATTTATCAAATCTGTAGGTGCGGTAGGACTTACCGGAAGTGATTCCCATAGCCTGCTTATCAACTGCTGGGTTGGAGTTACTCTTCATAACAGGATGCACTTGGATATTCTGACCAGTGTGCGGCGTGCTTAAGCTCTTGCTGTGATTCGGGGTGAGTGTGCGGGTGGCGTAACGCAGACTGCCTGATTCATGACTGCGCTCCGATTGTGCGTCTTGGTTCTCGCTGGTGGATGAACCGTCGTCTTCTTCGTCACTTGATGACGAACTGAAACAGAATAAAGGATTATTTAACGGTTTAAAACGCAAAATATAGTTAACTCATTTACAATTTATTTTTTCACGACCAGACGTTTAGAATGCTTTGCAGCAGCCATGGTCACATATCCAATGAATAAGTTATCTAATAAATTTTACGTTTTAAACCGTTAAGTATTTTTATTAAATTTCTACCCGCGTGAACTCCAGACAATACGAATGGAGTTATTAAAAATGAGTTCGTAATGTTTGGTAGTTGGTTGAAAGAATCGAGAGGTATGTAGGACGGCTCTTTCTTTCCAATTTAAACTTAGTGTATGTTTAGTCTCTATTATTCAAAGAGGAACTGTCTAATCTTACCTATCAAGTCTTATATTCTTGCAGCTGTCATCTGGATCCGATATACTGATGCCTGGTTTGTTCGCTCCCGTACTTAGCGCACTGGGTCTGTAAATTGACATATAAAATCTGAAATGACCCACTTTTACTTGTATTTTTTTACATTATGTACATGAACTGCCTTGGGGATTACAAGGTACCGGTCGAATCCTAGATCGGGCGAAATGTTCCTTAGGAAATGGAATTTTCTAAGGAAAATTCTAGCCCGAAGGTGACAACCAGTTAAAGCCATGTAGTAGCGTGGTAAATTAAACATTTAAAACACATTTTCAGAGATGATATCGGTCTTAATAGATTAAAAAGATATTAAATTTTTGATGCGATTTTTAATAGATAGAGTGAGGTTTTATAATAAACGTTCAGTTTTTCTATAGTGTATTTAGTATCAGCATTGCAGCCCAAGCGGGTCGCTAGTTAAATAATAAAATACTAACGGCAGATCAATGTGAGTGTGAGGCGCTGGAGGTACACAGGCGACGCATAGAATCCGCGCATTGCATACCCCATTGCATGACGTCACTTGGGGTTTGGGGCTCAACGTAAGCACGCACACTTGACCAACGTAACCGTCGCTGTTGCATACCTGCAGCGAAATAGGTTTAAGTATTTAAAGGAACTAATAAAAAGCTAATGTGGGGCATGGGGCGAACGCATTTCTGTATCCGCTTTATTGATCGAGTCTTTTCAGGCAAGTACTTGATAGCACTTTCAGGATAGTCTTTTCAAGCAGACTTCGGTGCACTGCCCGACCGAAAGAACCTATTGTTTCCCCGAGATTTAAACCCAGATCCTCTCGAGCTAAAGCAATAAGTAACACTTTTAACCATTTGGCTGCAGAGGCGCTCCGCTTTACATTAATTCGTAATCTGTTTTAAATTACTAAATTACTAATGACACAAGCGGGACGTGGTGGCTCAGGTGGTAGGGCGGCGGCCTAGTTGTGGATTTGAGTTCGGTCCATGAGTATGTAATTCGATTTTTGAATTGATTTGATTATAAAGGAGGTCCACTTGACATCATTACACCAACGAACGAATTATGAATGTTTTACCCAAACATCAGGCGATTGTCCCTTAGGAGGCAACGTGGGTGCAGCACAGGTGAATTGCAGCCCCGCTCTGGTCTTCCGTATGGGGACGGGCGACAGAAACTCAGGAGCTGGCCTCTCGTGACCGTATACACCTAGAACATTCGACCAATTACATTTAATATGTAAATAGCGTACTGAAAGACAATAAATTATTATCAGATAATTATTGAAAAAGATTTATTGAGAATAAGAACTGTCTGTAGTTTACGCGAGTAGTACACATTTGAATAAACGTGTACTACTCACGTAACCGTTTAACTAATTTGATTCGCGTTTTAAACCGTTTAAACTTATTAGAAAATTAAACGTAACTACGGCCCGACGTTTCGGATGCTTTCCAAAAGGCATGGTCACGGAGACTAAAGATGGAGGATATCTGTCTGACGTCAAAGTAAAAACAGTTACTTTAAGTGTTTTATCTATTGAGAATATTCAAATAAAAAAATAAATTAATTAAAAATCTTTTGACTATTTTTATAATCTTATTTAATCTATTCTTTTAATTTAAAATAATGTTTTTCTATATATTGTCTCATTAATATTATTTGTTTTTGTTTGACAATTTTTATTTATTACATATTCCTGCATGCGTCCTCATTTTCTGTTCTATAGCAAGTGAATGTTGGCAAAATTATAGAATAGATAAACTCACTTAATTTCTGTTTAGTCTCGTTAATAAGCTCCTCCCAATTGCTCCTTTTCTCGGTCTTCGGGAAGATTATGGTGAGATTTTCTGTACCGCTTCTGTAAATTAAATTAAAAAGTACTTAGCATTTACTCAGTAATAATAATATTCATGTACTTGTATAAATAAAAAAAATATACGAAAGAAAATGGACAGGCATAAATTTCACTTAACAATAATTCAGCAGAACGACATTTTTAATGAGAAACTGGCTCTTTACTGCTTTTCTTCAAACATATGATATGATAGATAGAGGAGGACACACAAGCATGTGTTGTTGATATTCGAAAATCTATAGACTGAAATCGGAATGCGAATAAATTTGACGGCGTTAGCACACGGACAGTAGTTCGTGGTCCGGACGGAATTTCTATATTCGTACTACCCTGTCCTGATTTTCCAGACGAAGTCCAACATGTTTCAGAAAAAATAGAAATCGATATAAAAAATGTTAGACCCGGTCATGGTCGAATCCACGACTATTAGATATGATAATTAAAAAAAAAAATTAAAGCTATACACTACTGTGAGCTCGTCACCATTTTCTGAAAGACTTCCCTATCTAAACTTTTGACACTAACGATGTGTTCACACTGATCTCCATGTAACAAAGCTGCAAATCACTGTTCTGCTTCTCCGACAGCTGTCGGACCACGTTGCCCAGCATTTCCCTCACGAGCTCCTCCAACTGCGTGTGATGTGTGTGTAGAGCAGCCACGTGCTCTGATATTTGCGCCAGTGTGTTGGCGTCCTCTGTCAGGGTCTCGACCTCGTGCATTATACGTCGAAGGTTTTCATCTTTGGCTAAAAATAATGTAATGTTTGATATAATTATTGGGACGAAAATTTTATAATTAAGTTTAAAATGATACTGGTTTAATATATTATTCTTTTGAAAACTTTATTAATTTTTCACATGTTATTGCACATGAAGGCACTGTATAATTAAAAGATCGATTCTCGATTTTTAGATTCTTCTTCTAAATTAACTAGAATACTAAGAAATTGAATATTCCCAACACTCTTATCAGCTTCTGCAAGAAAATAAATACCAAATATTTGTACTTACATTTAACAATTTCGAGATCAGCCAAGTTTATTCGCATCAAAAGCTTGTACTTGTTGCCCTCCATCTGACTCGCTATACTGCTTTGGTATGTTCTGAAAGACGTACATAAATTTTCTTTGTACTGAAGACTTTTAGTTTTGTTTTAAAGAAACTTAATTGAAGTCGTATTTAAGTACACATATGAAATGTGACTTTGAAATTAATGAACTACAATAATCAAATGATTTTCTATCTTTTACTCTTATTATTATGGTTTAAATAAAACACTTTAGAGGGTTTTAAAACTCTACATATAGTTTTTTCTAACTACGACCCGATGTTTCTAAAGCTTTGCAGCAGTCACGGAGGGACTGAAAGGGGGGGTATACCTAATGACAAAGTTTAATCTGCTACACTAGCGCCACTTTAGCAGATGTCTTTGACATTAGGGAAGTATAAATGGGTTTTATATAAATGTAGTTGCGTAACTACAAACTGATATGTTAAATTTTATTTTATATTTGAAAAACCAACCTTAAACACACTATACTTACGGTATAGGTTTCTTTATCGTCCCAGTTCGTCTCTTCACACTCGTGATCAACAGCGTATCGTTGAAGAGGAACAATGCTCTATCCTTTATGGTGCCCTGAGCTGATGGTATCGTGACAGTTTCGTGTCTTATAAACGTTCGGTCTGACGTCACCAAATTAGATAAGCCCTCTATCATAGATTCCAATTCACGCAGCGTCTGTTGTTGCATCTCTAGTTCTAAGCTTTCGCGTTCGGTGCAGTTGATGAGTTCTAGAAGATTGTGGATTTCCTTTTGAGCCTCTAGAAGCAGCTTGTGGTCGGGATGAGACTGGTCTGTAATAGAGGAAAAAGAAATATATATTTATGATAGAAGACCGACAAACGATGAAAAGACATGCGTTTTTATTGATGGTGGTGATGGTGAAATAACCAAATCGTATAACATCTAACGAGATACGTAATTTGGATATTCGGAAATCCAGAGACTGAAACCAAAACGCGATTATACTTCGCGTCTTCACGATCCAGACGGAATTTAGATATTCCTACCACCCATTTACCATCCAGATACCAGAGAGAACAAGCCATACATTGATGCCATTATCAACGAACCCGTCAAAATAAAGAAGACTGTCCATGTCAGGCCACAAGCACTGGCAAGAGTAATACTTTTAATTAATTTTTTTTTTATGCTGTATTAATAATAACAGAATTCTTCAAACGCGACTAGAAACTAGATCAAGTAAATAGCGATGTTTGAAAGCGTTCTAAATGTTACTGTCTTATCATGTATATGGCATAGAATTTAGGATACAAGTAAATCAAATAAACACCTGACATCAAAAGAATAAAAGAAAATTTATATCATAGACCTCGTTAAATATGCAAATTCATTATGTAATTTAAATTATTATTTTAAATTGTGCAGTTTAGACCAAACATTTTTTATTCCAGCAATATTAACGTTAAAATATGTGCTAAGACATATATATTTTTTATATATATAAAATATAAAATACTAGAACATAATATCAAATGAAAACCTTGTTACCTGTATGTTTGATCAGCCGCTGTATCAAGAGTTTATAGCTGGGAAACTTCTGGACTGGTTTAATAAGAAGATTGTCCAAGGACAACTTCCCCTTATGATCCCTGGCCATGGCATCTAGAAACTTGGCGAAAGCAGGCCGCGACGATGCAGCTGTTTTTATCGTCTCTTTAGCCTTCTTCAAATTGCTTATGAAGGACATGTAAGTGTCCATGACGGTGGCTTTGGTAAACTGGAAATTAGAAAATGATTTTATTAATAGTTGGAGTGTTAAAAATATAGCCAACGAATATGTACTAGAAGCTTGACAAGAGTCAGATTAGTCAGAAATTATGCTATTTATAACAATCATGAGTTGTTTTAATATTTCATTTCATTCCGAATACGTATCTGGCATAAAAGCAAATTTAAAGACTTATTGTAAGATTTTTACGGTCAAGTTTCAAATATTATTGGTGGTTTTATTGGCCGTTTTGTTAAACGACGGCTGACAGTAGAGGAACGTCGAGAACAATTTCTTAATGACGACGGCCTCGAAATCTTCAAAAATATTGAAATTGTTGCGTATTGTTCTGAACAGTTTTTTCATATTTTAAACAGCAACAACTGATACATAGTTTTTTTTCTGAAGGGAATCCGCTTGGTTATGGATCATATTCAGAGACACATATTACAGCTCATACGGTCAAAAATCATAAATAATTCATACATTAAATTAATAAACTTACTACATCTAAAAACACGTCTCCCACTTTCTGCTGTAAGTCCCATTGTTCGAGCCTCCTCCTTAGCTTCTCCAAGAATTCTTGGTGCACATTTAGGATCGCTGGGACCTGGTAGAAGATCTCGTCTACCACGAAAGCGTCTAGAAGACCAGCATTTTCCGGGCTTTTCAGAGGGTGGAGGTATTTCTGGAATATGAAGAAACGTTTGTTACAAATTTTGAAGTAGACAATATTATTACAATACAATCATAAATATTCGAAGATAGAACTAAGACACTTTGTATTTTTACGTAACGTTACGTACGCTTTTAAGGGCTTCATAACTTCTCTTCTATCTATAAATAGGTATATCATACATATTTATAGATAGAATAAAAGATAGATTTTGTATGGCCTAAAATCCTAATATCTACTTTTATTTCCATTTATCTATCTGATGATCTATTATCAATTCTCACTATTGTAAATATTTATTTTCCGTTAGAAACAGTACATCACTAGTTAAAGCAGACTGAGGCTGAGCCTTATATATTTAAGCGTTACTTGGCTTAGGATGAACGAATATCAATTCAAGCAAATTCAAGCAAAGCCTTATATAAATAAAAGAAACTGTTTCACCTTTAATTGTGCGTGAGTTTCATCTATGTGTCAAACGATTCATTATTTGAGTAAGCTTTAAGCGAGAGACTTGAGGTGGAAAATGTACGTGGTATTTAGGGTTGTGAATGGTAAGCCTTCGTTATTTGGAACATATTTCTATATACGAACCTTATTTATGCATTGCGTAAGATTTTCCCTATATATTCAAATTTCCTGACACAAGACTAACGGATAAACAAATATATTCATAAACAATCGTCCGAAATGAAATCGAATTGACGACCATTCACGATTAAAAATAATGTCTTTCATTGTACATAATGTATTCGTTAGTTATGATATATTTTAGCAAGGTGGTTAATGATCGACAGGTTCGATCCCCACCGAGGCCAACATTTTTCTAATCAATATTTTTTTTAAAACATATTGGACCTCGTCTGGAAATCTGAATATTAAACAGATATAGTCACAGATAATAAAGCCGTAGCTGAATCATCGTTTCAGTCTGTGGATTTCTGGATATCCAAAATCATAATACGTCGACATCTTGTTTAGATATTGTATGGTTGGGATAATTCACTCACACATTCACATATTCACAGTTGGGACAATTTATATTTTACTTCGTATATGTGTGTAGTTGTGCAACAAACATTGAGCCTCATATGCGACATTTGCAGATATGTCAGAAAGGTGATAAAAGGAAAATTCGCGACACTATACAAATAACGAGTTAATTAAAATCCCGTCCACAGAGTATAAATTTCGATAATTACGGTGAAAAGATAAATAAGCAAACGGCCCTGCGGTATCATCGACTCGATAAAATATATAATTAATTTGTCATCCGCGCAGTGTAGACGGACGGACAGACTGAATGATTACTTTGCATTTCATTCTTATTTATTATCGCTTCCGAGAATAATTCATAATTATATTTTGGTTGACGTGACGTTATAATTAAGATGTTTGTTTGTAAAACAGAAGTGACGTGTTTTTAGCATTTATATATTTGTATACTAGTACACAGTGAAGTGTTGTAAGGTCCAAACAAAGCAAGATTTTTCCAAACTTTAATATTTTTCACACAAATAAATTAAAAATCGATTTTAGATGTAAAGGCGCTGTGGACACCCGTTCAAGTTCAGTTCGTATGGAATTTTTTCAATCGAAAATCGATTTTTATTCCCTGATTTTACTTGGAAATTATTATCAAAAATAATATTCTACGTGTTAAAACGCGAATACTGCTGGGAAGTATCCAAAAAGTTGTATTAAAAAAGTAATTAATATAATTTATGTGTTTGGACTGTTATTTGTTTATATTTAAATGTTTCTAATCGCGATAAATCTATAGAATGCTTAGTAGTTATAGTGGTATTATTTTTATATAGTGAAAGAGTGATTGTTAATTAATTACTTTCAAAAAGACCGTTTTAGCATTTAAATGATGTTGAGACACAAGAAACCAGCCAGAAGCCCCATTCACTCATTTGTATTAATTAAATTTGCATTATGTCACACAGAAATTAGAATAGAGGCAAGATAACAAGATTTCTCGCAATGTAATGGAGAAAACCTTCAAGATATTACGCAAAGTACAAAGGAAGCTCGAGCTAAGTAAGTAATATAAAATCCAATGGGGCGCGGGTTCGATTACAAACATTTAATTAAAATACTGTCTGTAGTTTACGCGTCTAGTACATTTTTAAATAACTAAAAAAAATTACGGTTTAAAACGCGATATTTATTTGTAAAACTTATTTGAAAATTATTATTAACTACTGCCCAATGTTCCGGGTGCTTTGCATCAGGCGTGGTCTCAGGAAGACCAAAGATGGAATGTGTCACTGACGTCAAAGTAAAAAGTGCTAAGCTAAGTCGGGCCGTAGTTAAATATAATTTTTAAATAAGTTTAACAAAAATATATCGCGTTATAAACAGTTAAAGTGTTTTATTTACACGTTTAAATATATTTCTTATGAACATTTAATTGGTCGTGGAATATACACTCAAAGGAATATTGGGGTTCACATTTTTTAATTATTAAAACATTTGAGAATTATAATCCCGTTTACATAAATGGGGTACGGGGCGGATATAAAAATATGTCCGTTACACACGTTCGATTTTCTTTACCGCATGGTAATATACGTGCCTAAACTAATCTTAGGCAATAATTACCTTAGATTAGTTTAGTTAGCGCAGATTCAAATATTTCTCATATAAACCACCTTTGTCTGAGCAATTTAAAAATCTTACCTTGACCAATATTTCCAATGCCTCAACATAGGATTTCTCTGTTTCATACAGCTCTACAACGACGTGTGTTCGGGTGTCCTGAAAAAAGAGAAAATGTTACAGAGCTTCTAAAAAATTACTGAACAACACAAATAAAAGCAAACATTTTGTACCATTAAAAGATTATCAATGTAAAACCAAGTAACTCCTCGAATACATTATGCATATACACAAGTACATGTCAAGTGACAACGTCTTAACTAAATACTGTCTGTAGTTTACGAAGTAGTACACATTTAAATAAACACTCTTACAGTTAAAGACGCGATATATATTAGTTAAACTTATTTGATTTTTTATCTTCGGCCCGACGTTTCGGATGCTTTGCAGCAGCCGTGGTGACGTCGCCCCGTGACCACGGCGGCTGTTTATTTAAATCTAATTATTTAAATAAAACACTTTAACGGTTTAAAACGCGATATATTAGTTAAGCTTATTTGACAATGATTTTAAACCTAAACTTTTCAATTAAGTTTAAGTAATATATCGCGTTTTAAACCGTTAAAGTGTTTTATTTAAATGTGCACTACTCGCGTAAACTATAGACAGTATTAAATCTAATTATTCTTCCTAGCTTCGAAGTTGTCGAGGAAAATAAGACGAATAAGGCCACGAAACTATAGATAAAATAGGCACGTGCCGACTAGTGTTATCGCGTGTGAAATTCGTGATTTTTCTGCTATCTGTACCGGCTCGGCCGATCGATACTTCATCAATTATTGCTACCGACTGTCGACTACCGAATAAGGTCAACGGTAAAGCGATACAAGAACAATTTAAAGACATTTTCGGTCACCTTTGCTTTTGTTTAGAAAAATTTGATATTAGTCAATATAATTTGCTTAAATTTTTAGTAGGTACAAATCCTAAATAAGTTTTGTACGTATATTTTTATTGTGATGTATCTCTGTAAGGCTTTGATTTACAGATGTAATTTGGAGATGATCTTATAAAGAATAAATTTACAATCTACACAATTGTGAAAAATAGGTATATATTACATAGTTGGTTTATATAAATTCCCTACGTGTCTTTATAATAGAAACATAATCCTTTTTAAATGAAAAAATCTCGAAAAATATTTTTTTTTCTCATTTGGAATAAAGATTGATTGCTTCGTTCGGGATTCACTTGCTGGACGGTAAAATACTAAACGTTACAATATCTGATAAGATGTGCTGTCGATCTATTTCGATTTTGACCCTGACGAAATACCAATATTTTTACCATCCATTCAATGTCGAGATTCAGACGTTATGTTAAATTAGAAAACATTAGAAAATGTTTTACAAACAAACAGGAAAGGAACCCTTGATTATTATCTCCCATACATTGATATTATTTACAAGCGTTTGTAAAAATATTTCTATTGCCATACAATATCCCCTTACACACATAAATCCAACCGATGGTTACAATATCCAATCAGAATAGCCCAACTAGGTCAGTAGGTCAAACGCCAAATATATGGGAGTAAGAATTACATTTCAAATCAACGAAAATCTCATTACCACTAATTACATGTTGACTCGGTCCCTGATATTATTTTTATATAGTTTAACTAGTAACTTAAATAAAACAATCGATTTTAAATAGAGAAAATTTTACGACGCGGCCAGGGCTCGAACCGGCATCCCCATTGCTCCGTGCTATTGCTTTAATCAATTGAGCTACCGTGTCCGTACCATGTCGTGTGACGCGGTAGCTCAATTGGTAGAGCAAGAGAAGGGAACGCTGTGGATGCCGGTTCAAGTCTTGCCTGATATTTTTGTTGTATTCCTTATAAGAATGGAACACACGCTTGGATTCTTAAGTGTATGCAGACAGAAGAGCAGAAGTCACATCCAAACATAAAACTAATCGAAAATAGTGTAGCCTAAATTTTAATAAAACTATAGGTTTTAAAATTATTTTATATTAAGAAAATAGTATGACAAGCGCGGGCCTCGAACTCGCGACTGACAACTGTGGACTAACTGAGCGTTTCGTCAAATTTTAAATAAACCACAGATTACACAATTATGAATACATAGATAATTTATCATTAATTCTGCACTTAAATAAACTACCTTAATTTTCATATGGCATAAGATAACACCTTATTGAAGTGTCAGATGTTTCACACAACCACGATGAAACATTTATTGAAGGCGGCCTATTTCTGATTTTCCTCATTGTGTTAGTGTTTACTGAGAGTTTCTCTTCAAAAATACTTCCAATGGTTGCTTTTATATAAATTTGCACACGTAAAGTGGTTTTACAATATTCTACGAATATTTTATTTTTATTTAAGAAGAGTACAGACAAGCTTTGTGGAAGGTAAAATACTCTCTCTACTCGTATCACATCGCAACAAGATGTGTCGTCGACCTATTTTAAATTAGTGTCGGAATATCCAATATTTGAATATATGAAGGAAATAACACAGTAGGTATTGTACTAGTTGTAGATCTTCATTTAAGTATGTCTAAGAGTTACAAATAGAGTTTATTGTATATTTCCTAGTAGAAAACAATGCAACAATAATATTAATAGTAGAATATAAGTAACAAAATAAAGTGGTAAAACTTTAAGCACCCTGTATTGTCGTAACAAAACAAACAGTTGTGTCGACTCTATTGTTTTGTGTTCCAATGGAGACGCAAATACAATTCCTGTACATGAAATAAAATATACGATTTTCGTTGTGTAAGGTTGTGCAAATTATCGGAATATTAATATTGCTTGTAATATTTACGATAGCACAAACAAATAAATCGTAATACATATATAAATAAATCTGAGCCTAATTGCATGTTGATTTTTTTTATTTAATCTATAGTAATACATAAAGCTCTTCAGCGTGTTTGTTTGCTTGATCGCGCTAATCTCAGGAAGGTTCAAGATACCAAAAAATATGTATGAAAGAATGATTCCTCTTTACAATATTTAAAAAATGTCCGTCAGTATATGCCTATGATGTGGAGGAGGTTTGCAAAGTCAATTTTTGATGCCCAAAATAACTATTCTACGCGAACGAAGTCGCTGACACAGCTAGTATAACACACATACGTCACTTGAAGTGTCAGTAGAGATCCTGGGTTGGAACTTTGCGAAAACAATACACGTAAATAAAACATAGTCGTCCACAACAGTTTAATAATGTACTCTCACGTAGATAAAGACGTCACGTTTCATTGAATCGGATGCAGAAAAATGTCTGCCGAATACCTCGCATTGGGGATACCAGACCAGGATAATTTTAGCCATTTCCTTCTGAATTGGCAGCCCTACTATCTCGCTAACCGCAAACATCAGCAAGACTCCATCGTGAGTGTAATTTCCCCATGCTGCCAAAGTGGAAAGGTAATAAAACAATAGCATCTACAAAAATGAAAGCTCTCTAGTATCATTGTCGGTAACATAAAAGAGTTTCTCGCGGTAGACACTCTTTATTTTGCCGCCTTTTTCCAAAATCTTACAAGCGAAGTAGCAGACTACTACTAGTAACAATAAAAATCTATATTATTTCTGCTGCTTAGTTCCGGGTTTTTGCTCTAACCAATTGAGCTACTGAGTCCCAAAATCAATTAAATAGAGCAACGGAACGCTGGCGAAACCGGATCAAGTCCTGCCCGAGTCGCAAATTTTTACAATTTATTTTCGATTTTTAATTAATATAGTGCCATCAGGTGAAAAATATTAAAGTTTTCAAACGTTAATAGGAATTCATTCAAACAAAACTGAAACTGAACTAAGAAAGTATAAATACAATTTGCAACGCCCTTGATGGGAAATAAGTAAAAATGAAATATTTTTCAATAAAACCTCGGGAGAGAGAGGGCTCTTTTAAAACTTGGAGCATATTGAATAAGTTTCATGCTTTCATGAATACTTTGTGTGCTTTCGTTACATTTTTCCACTACTAAAATATCTGACTTCGTTCATTTGAGGCAACGCTTACTTCGTTTTGTTTTTATGTAATTATGTACATGTATAATAATTCCAACAGTTTGTCAAGAGATACCAATTAAATTTTAACCTTCGAAATACTATTGAATTGAGTCGATCTTCTTTCGAGAGTATAATCTTTACTAAAAACGTATAGGGATCCCTGCTGCAACGTATGAGATATTATTTTGGTTATTTTCCTTATAAACCAAATATTTAAAAAAATGTTTATTTCAGAAAAAAAATACTTAAACTAAGTTTGCTTTAGCTATCGTCATGGCATTTGCAAGTATTGTTTTGGAACCTTCGTCAAGCCTTCTGAAACCAATTTCTTATCCGAACGTATTTACTTAACAGAGAAACATTTCTATAAAGTACTTTTTTGTTTGCAAACACAGCGTAATCCGTAATCCTTAGTCTTAATTTCTAGTAGGTGTCATGCGGGTAGAATTGTAAAGATAGTGTTGATTTGTGTAGTATTCTCAAGGAAGTGATTTTTTACATACTTAATAGTATCTTGTTTGGCAGCTACTGAAACTGTTCGTCCTGGAAATATTATTATTATTATTTGAAATGTTCCCTTTTTCTAAACTGTACCTGTAAAATAATATCGTTATACTAATTAATACCATAAAGGTATTGGCGTTACTAGAGATGGGCCGAGTACTCGGTTGATACTCGGTAGTCGGTACTAATACTAAATTACAACTCGGTTATACTTTGTTATTTGATAAAGAATATACTTTGTTTAAGAAAAATAATATGCAAAATCCAAAGAATTTATTAGTAATATAGGAAATCATAAAAATAACTCAATAATTGCATTTGCAAACAATCAAGTGACTGGTAAGTTAAAGGGGTGAGCGAAGCAAGCCAACGTCTTGACCGGAGCGAACCTGTTTATTACTTGTTTACGCGCGCAAAATGCGAATTTCACTGAACCGAGTTATTCGACCGAGTACTCGGTTAAAAGAAAATTGAACCGAGTAAAACTCGGTACTCGTTACTCGACAAAAGTGTTACTCGGCGCATCTCTAATGTTTACGTTACAACACAAAAGGAAAGCTTAATCCCATTGTAGTTATGACATACTCGAATATCATTGTAGG